GTGTTGATTTTCTTTTCTTTGTCACAAGGACAATTTTGTCAATATTATACATTACACAGCTTGTATCGTAACCAAAGAATCACTATGGCTATACATTTACTTATTAAATTTTTGATGGTTATATGTGCCAATTACCCTACGAGTTATAGCTCTGAATTCTATAATGATATTTAGCCTTCAAACATTTTTAAACTATTGGCTATATTCTAATTAAAAATTTGGAATCTACTTAGAAAACAAAATGGAAAAGAGAGAGTGTAATGAGAAAACAAACAAAGTGTTTTTTTTTTCATGTAAAATATTTTTATTGAGAAAAGTGAAATACGCAGTAGATACAAAATTGAAACAAAATCCAAAAACTAAGCCGACGGATAAATACGAAACGAATCCCAAAAAAAAGAAAACAAATAAAACAAATCTATAATCGAAACCGGAATTAAAGAGAAAGAAAAACAAAAGAAATATGAAACAAACGACTAGCGATTCCTCCTATAACGAATCAAGACTATTTTTCATACCAAACATTTTTAGGAACCAATAAAACAGAACTATGATATTGCATTAAATACTCCACAAATCCTCCGAAACGGTGAAGTCAAGAATACATCATTTTAACGTTTATGTAGAAATTTTTGAACTGAAGAGATCTTGATCACGTCAGATGAGAGTGTTTTAGAAAATGTGAATGCTTTCATATATGTAGTTATTTTCTTAGATAGCTAGTAAAAGCATCTCCATTAAGGGTATCTAATGAGATATCTATACCAAAATATTAATAAAAATTTTGAAAAAAAAAGAGAGCGCGAGATACTCATGGGAAGAGTATCTCAAATAAAATATCCATGAGATACCCAAATCACATTTGTCTCCACTTAAATTGGCTCACTTTTGTTTTCAAACATTAATTTTATTAGCATAACTAAATTCAATAAAAATGACAATATTAAATTAGTAAAAAATTGGATGGTTATGAGAACTTTTAAAAAAATATTTGGATTATATGAGAAAACTATGTATTCTTTAAAAAGTCTAAACTTAAAAAAAAAAAAAAAGCACGATGATAATTAAGCCGACGCTGCCAAACTTTCACAGATCGGATTCTCCCAGTTTGACCGGCGATGGGCGGCTACCACAGCGCCGTGTCGGTTCCTCGTCCTTTGTATCTTTAGCTTGTCTTGATGTAGTTTTTTAGTCGGATTCTTTAGGAAAAATTCTTAGATCTGATTTTCTTAGATCTAGTTTTTCTAGATCTAGATTTTAAAATTGGATTTGGAGTTCTTTCTTTAGAAGGTTGTGTTTATCTTTATGTCTTTGTGGTCTTGAGCATGATTGGAGTTGCAGCGATTTGGTTTTGGAGGGTTTCGGTCTCGGTGGTTCTTCTAGCTATCAAGGCGGTCTTTGCCGTGGGTTGAGGAGGATTCTTGGTTCGCAGGTTTCGTTTCAAATCCTTGAGTTTGGGTGGGTTTAAGCTGGTTTCGGTTCTGTTGCAGAGGGGGTTGGATTCTAGTTTGGAGAGTTGGGGTTCGTTGTCTCGGGAGCCCGAATGTATTGATTTCCATGATCTCTTGACGGTGCGGCATAGCTGCTCTTGCTACGAGTCGGGTTCCTTTCGTCAGCTCTAGGCCTAGGGTTGTTTTCTCCTCAATTTCAGTGGTGATTTGGTGTTTGATTCTCGAGCTCGGTCTTCACGACTCTGGTGGAGTGTCTCGCATTCTTTTACCGGCCCGGTTTAGCCTTTCTCGACTCTCGATGTGTCTTACAAGCCTCCTCATTTGCTTCTTCTTCCAAGTTTGCTTGTGAAGGAGTCTGAATTTTTAGTCTAGCGTTATCCTTTCTCCACGGTACTTCTTTACATGAGTAGTCAAGATACGATTTGATTATTTGTTGTGGAATGGTTTCGGGGCATTACCTCGCCCATCTTTATAGTTGGTGACCCTCTTCTTTCACTCTTTTCAAGGGGTCAAGTCTTTTGCGTCCGCTCGAGTTCTTCGAAAATAAGACCCGAGGAGTCCGGAGAGATGGCGTTTGGGTTCTATTTGTTCCCTTCTTTTAATGGTGATAGCTCGACCTTGTAGTTGTTTTTTCAAGAATGTTTGTTTGGGATTTAGCAATGTATCATTTCTCCGATTTAATCCGACCAGTTATGAAATGAAGCAAAATTCGAGATTGGAAAAAAAAAAAAATTTAGTAAAAAATTGTTAAAAGTATCTCAACGAGATAACTAATGGAGATGCTCTAATATTTTATTGATTGGTAAATACGCGTAAAAAAAGGAAGTAGAACGTGCGTGGAATCTAATCGAACGGTGACGATTAAATATCACCGTAACAATCGAACGATACAATTTGTCAATAAAAAAAGAAAGGAAAACCCTAA